CTTGTTGAAAAATCGTATAATTTAGCAATTAAATGTTATGATTTATTTATTTTTTTCCCTTTTTTTTTCTCCTTTGGCAATTTTTAACTTTCATGTCTGCCAAAAATATGGTATCTCGAAAGGACAATTATATTTCTTTGACACCGCTATTATTGTATTCACTTTTAATTCCCTCGGCAATGTCCTTTTTTATTAATTCACCCCAAGCAAGGCAATAATGTTACTAAAATGCAGTTGGTGCTGCTATTGGAAGTGAAAGAGAATGAAAGACTTTAGAAGGAACCGGAAACTTAATCCCAAACCGGAAACAAGAGATAAACGTCTACTCCTGTTCAAAAGACAAAAGAGTTTGAACCGGACGATAGTCAAGTTTATAAAAATTGTGAAGCAAATACAATGTTATATTTATTATTTATCGTTTTATAAAGATTTATTATTTACCGTTTTATAAATAAATACATTTGAAAAGAAAACATTTATTCAGAAAAATCTATAAAAAATTACAAAATTATTAAAAGATGTAAACCAACTACATTGCAATATTTATATACTTACGATTTTTATAAATTACTATGAAAATATGTTTTTTATTGCTAATTTTTATAAAAATATCAATGAACTATAAAACAAAAAAATTGCATAAATATATGACATGTATTTCGTTTTTTTAAAACAATAAACTTAACCGAAGGTGTCAAAAGGGCATACAGTAATAGTGGTATCAAGTGAATAAATATCCTTTTGGCATACTGTTTTGTTTTTTGTACTTATGTGCCATGCGTGATACACGCTTAGGCGATTATGTATCTTTCGATACATGACTGACGAGGTAGATTTTTTCCCGCAGTAGGTTGCCATATTTCTGCGATAGACCAGTTGCCATTCAAGGCTTATAGAACGCAGTTTGTCCTGCTATTTATCCATAGCTGGTGGGGAGAAGAGGATTCCTACTTTTCCCAAGGGTCTTAGCATGTAATTGAATGGAGTCAACTGGAATTCGAACCGCTATCCATTACTCCACCGTGCCTACACGTGTAGGTACAAAAGCTAAATATTGCCTATCCTACATTATTTTATACATTACTGGAGCCATTATTATTAAAAATATCCTGAGTGAATTGATTTAGTGCTCTTGAAACAAATTGGGAATGAGATTGAATTTCAAAACCCTTAGTCTTATTTTCAAAATAAAAACAATTCAAACGGATAATAACAAGCGAGAAATTTGGCAAAGTTAATACATGCCTCAACATGTGGTATTTTCTTACAGAAAAAAAAAAACAACAAAAGAAACCCGAGATAAAAACGGCCACTATTTCTGAATAAAGACTTCCAAATTAACTTACCATACAGATACCTCATCTTTCAAGACGTCTCGTATACATCAAACGGAAGTAAGGAATTTTCAGGAATTGGGTTCATAGCTAACATTCTGTTCATATGAAGTTCACAGATCTCTACAGATTCAAATTTACAGAATTCGTTAAGCCTGAAAGACTTAATCTCTATAGAACCATTTTAAAATTTCAATAGGTTCGAATGATTAAAGAGCCGTTTTTTTTTATTAGACAAAAAGAAAAAAGGCATACAAATTGACGGGTTCATTTGATGCGCATTCCAGTGTGTCTCCACCCACAGTGTTTCTCAACGCTTGTGTGTTTCCGGCAAGGCTTGTTTTTATCATCAACCGTAATATAAGCGAGACTGTAGTTAAAATGTTGCAACCGGATCACAGGGAAATGCCAAACGGAATAAATTCACTCTTTTAAAATTTATCGCCATGTCTGTTGCGCAGCATCGTTGGCCCGTCTTATTTTTAACTTCGCTGCCACAAGTCCTGTTGAGAAATTGTTTTCGTTTTACGCCTACTGAGACAAGTCATGACGAGATACGAACCACAGCTAATGCTAGGCTCCTCAAATCATAATAACAGCTGTTTCGACTTGAAAGCACACTGCATACCAGCGTGTTTTCTCATCTTCAGCAATTTTTTTTAATCATTTTATCCCAAGCAAGACAATATTGCCACTAGGACGCAAGGAGTTACTGGGACTGAAACTGAATGAGAAGATGAGAAGTGAAGAGAAAAGACAATAAAAAGAAGACAGACGATGGCGTCTGACATTGCATTTAAATCTATTGAAGATTGTTGATCAGAAGGATGATCCACAGACAAGAAGTACAAGAAAAGCATCTATTAGAATAGAACTGACTGCTGCATCTGGTGTGTTCAATCAGGGAACATCTGAGGAAATTTTAAGGAAAATGGAAACAAAGAGTCCACTTGTAGAATCAAAAAGAGGCAGCCGAAAATTGTGACGGCTAATGAGGAAAATGGGCTTTTAATAAAATAATTTAAACCTTTGAATCAATTTTAATACTTTATTTTTTAATCACATCACCCCATGCTTGGCAGTAAAGCCACTAAGATGCAAGGGGTTACTGAGTGTGAAAGAATAAGAAACATTTTAAGAATCGAGAACAATAGAAGAGTAATCACAAAGACAGTAGATAACAATTGGCCTCACATTTAAATTTTTGAAGATCAAAGTTGGCTGAAAATCATGGAGTCGGAAGAGAATTCAACAAGCGAGAAGTACAAGAAAACAAACTGTTAGCATTGAACTTAAGGTTACATCTAGCCAATTCAACTGTGAATTGGTGAGACCTTACCGCCAATCTAGTGCTGCGCTTAAATTCATAAAGTTTGGGTACTATGGTGAAGAGCTCATCAAAATAATCACCATAAAAATATTTATAGAAAAGGCAAAGGAACGCAACCTCATGGCGGTGGAGAAGTGACTGAAGCCGAGACGCCAGGTCAGGGTCAATAATATTGCTGATTCTTTTTTGGATTTTATCAAGGAGCTCTAGATAAATAGATAAATAGCAAGGACACCGGACCATATGTAGCAGCAATATGGACGAACAGTAGACTTATAGATATGTAAGATAGATTCTGCAGAGAAAGATTGTCTCACACGACACAGTGAACCAACTTTTTTAGCAACAGACCTAGCAATTGATTCAATATAGACTTTCCAATTCATGTCAGCCGAGAATGTTAGCCCGAGAAGGCGTAAAGAGTCACTCTCCTGGAGGTTAGCATCTGCCATGTTGATGGAAGGCAGAAATGGGTCTCTTAAATTATTAATAGAGAGAAGTTTCGGTTTTGGCGGTGTTAAAATTAACGTGCCAATCCTTGCCAGAGTTAAAAGCAGACTGAAGGTCATTTTTTAGATCAGACGCTAATTTGACCTTATCGAACTGATCAAGCTTATTATCGAGGCAGAAGTAACTGGCGAAGGTGACTTGATTAAACAATAGCATTAATATTTTTTTTATAAAAATCAGATGAATGAAAATTACAAACAAAATGAAACCAGACTTAAGAACGTTATAAAAAATGAACAACACGAGTAGATAAGGGCAAAAAATTAGACTAATTATTTATTACAAAAAAATTTAAAACCGCCAAACTTATACATAAAAATATTAATCCACCTCTTAGAATAAAAAATAATAGAACAAAGATTATTTACGAATTTAATTGTCCATTAAAGAATTGTGTACCTGATCAAAATTCGTAAACAATGATATAGACCACACTACAATATGTTTGACAAGTAAACTCACACTAAATCTTTCTGACCATTGCTCAATTAGGTCTCATTTAAATACTCATGAAGACCTACTGGGCCCTATTCGTAGCATTTGTTGATAATACAAATATAATAGTATCATCTACATGTAAAAACAGGCTAAAAATAATGGAAGCCTTATTAATAAAATAAAAAAGTCAATAATATCAACTATGAACATGGACACAATATCTTGACCGTGTTTTTAAAAATGAAACATTGTATAATTATATACATACAACAATCTATTTCTAGTTAACAGTTAATATATTTCAAACTTGAAAATGTCTAAATATATAGCCGAAAGAGATTATTGAGTAAAATCTGTAATCTTCACGCATGCCAGCTTCTTTGGTCTTATCTACTTAGCTGTTCTTGTCGCGACTTACTGCAGATTATTGGTATCTTAATTATTACGGTTAATTATTGTATAAGCTCTTTACGAGTTCCACGAGTATAAAATACTCCTGGAAATTCCCCTGTTGCCCAGTAAATTATTTGAGCTTAACAAATTTAGCAAAATGTTACAATAACAATCATGAATAAATACGCATTAAAGGCGTTACTTAAAGAAGTAAGGGAGTACAAATAAAAAGATTGGCAAGATTTTCTATTTCACTGAAGCAGACGTTAAACACATGAGTGCATTATCTTCTGCTTTCTACTTTCTTTTTTTCATTCATTCTTTCTTTCTCTAAATCTAAACAGCGCCTTTGATATATATTTTCTTCCATCTATCCTCGCAATCAAGCAAGAATGGTCCATTGGTTATCTGATGTAATGGCAGGGTGTAACGTAAGCGATATCTAAGGAAATATGGAACAGGCAGAATCATATTATGATGCATTTTCTTTCTAAGATAAAATAGAAATAAAGAGATTATATGAAAAGTGCTGAAAATACACTTTCCCAAATCTGACCAAATTATCAAATTTTAAGTTGGAAGTTTTTTTTTGTTTTTATTTTTGATTTTTTTTTTTTGTCAAGGCAAGAAATTTTCAGAATTCTGTCATATCCGGTTAATTTCTGAAGGAATTTTTTTTTAAAATCCTACTCTATGGCAGATTATTAAATCTATCGAAAATTTCAACAAATAAATGAAAATTTGATAAGAGTTTCGATGATGCCCAAAATAATTTTGACAGTAATAAAATATTCTGCTGTTTGTCTGGCTTCAGTAGACAATAGTGAGATGAACACTCGATGGCTGTGGTCCAAAACCATGAAGAATATGGCATCGCAGCTTATCTCCCATTGTTTAAATGTATTTACGCAAGATATTTCCAGTATAAGCATTTATCTTGTGAGTGGGGATTCTTGCTTAAAATTGACGGATAAACAGATGTGACGATAATGCGTTCAAAGGAAGGAAGGACAAATACAGAAAGAAAGAAAGAAAGAAAGAAAGAAAGAAAGAAAGAAAGAAAGAAAGAAAGAAAGATAGGGGGTAGAAAGAAATAGAAATAAAGGAAAGCGCGAAGAAAGAAAGAAACGAAGGAAGGAGGGAAGGCAAGAAAGAAAGAAAGAAACCTTTGAGAAAGAAAGAAAGAAAGAAAGAAAGAAAGAAAGAAAGAAAGAAAGAAAGAAAGAAAGAAAGAATGGCAGGAAGGGTAGAGCAGATAAAGAAAGAAAGAAAGAAAGAAAGAAAGAAAGAAAGAAAGAAAGAAAGAAGGAGCAAAGAAAGAAAAAAGAAAGAAAGAAAGAAAGAAGGAAGGAAGGAGCAAAGAAAGAAAGAAAGAAAGCAAGAAAGAAAGAAAGAAAGAAAGAAAGAAAGAAAGAAAGAAAGAAAGAAAGAAAAATGTGAGGTAGAAGGAAAAAGAAAGGGAGGAAGAAAAGAAGAAAGAAAGAATTAAAAAAGAAAGAAAGAAAAAGGAGAAAGAAAGAAAGGAAGAAGGAAGAAGTAAATAAATACAGAACGAAAGGAAATGAAAGAAAAGAAAAAAGAAACGAAAGAAGATGGAAATGGAATAAAAAAAAAGAAAAGATAAAACAAAGAAATGAAAGAAAGAAAATCCAAAAAGAAATGTAAAATAAGTAAATGAAAGAAAGAAAAGAAAAAACAACGAAAGAAGAAATAAATGAAAAAAAGAGAAAAAGAAACGAAAGAAATACGAAAGAAGGAAAAAATAAAGTAAGGCAGACAGACACAAACAAAAAGGAAGGAAGGAAGGAAGGAAGGAAGGAAGGAAGGAAGGAAGGAAGGAAGGAAGGAAGGAAGGAAGGAAGGAAGGAAGGAAGGAAGGGAGGGAAGGGAAGGGAAAATAAAGAAAAAAATGGACGAAAACTAGAAGATAGAAAAAAGAAAGAAGAAAGGAAAAAGTAGAATAAAGAAAAGAAAAAAAGTAGAAAAAAAGAAAGAAAAAAAGAAGGTAAAATAACTTTGCCGATATATGAACATTATATTACCTGGAGAATTACTTTGTTTCCTGTCAGATCTGTTAGGTGTTTAATGGCAGAGAGCCAAGGTTTTAGATATGCTGAAAAAACTATTTCAGTTTTCATTTATGTATTTATTCAACATGTAATGAATATCGTTTTCCTAATCATTCATTTCTATCTTTGCGGCTGATGAAGACCACGCACGTTCCCTCTGATTACATTATGCCCATATGCTAGGGAGTGAATCTGCAAAAAAACTAACCCACTCACTCACTCACTCACTCACTCAGACACAAACACAAACACACTTTGTCTAGATTGAAAGAAATAGGAAGACGATAGAATCATTAAATTCTAAATTAAAATTATTATGAATTAAAAAAGATACTTCTGCATATATATTTTACAAATATCGTAAAATTAATTTTATAAGTAATTTTGTAAAAATATTATAATCCTATAATAAAATACTACGTAATGTTATAAATAATTTATAAGTAATTTAAAAGAGATAAACCTACTGTAAAAATCTTCGATCCCAGAAAGGAGGTTACGTTGACAGCGAGTTGTATCAGCAATTTTATCGCATTTGATAATGTACATTTCAAGAAGATTGATGGCAGCAGAAATAAATTATTCAAATATTGGAAAAGAGGAATTGGCCTTTATCAGGGACATAAACAGAGCTTGACAATTTTTATTAGGTAAAGAATTCCTATTAAACTCGTATCATAAACCTCTAGAGGTTATTTTTAATCCTAGAAAGGAGTTATCAAAAGTTACTCCCTTACAGGATTCTAAGTGGGGCTATAAAATTAATGACTTATGATTTTGATATTGAGTACGTAAGAGGAAATACAATACCACATGTCGATGCGCTGACGAGGATACAATTTAATAAGGATCAAAAGGGGAAATCCTGGATTAAAAATTATATTACATTATGTTAAGCTCCTATAATAAAATACCACCTAATGTTATAAGAAATTTTTAAATTAGATTATAGACCTTTAAAAAAAATTCGAGTAATATTATAAGTAATTTTAGAATTATATTATAGTCTGATAAAATGTCGAGTAGTGTTATAAGTAATTTTGAAATTACATTATACTGCTATAATAAACAAAAATTATTTAACCAATTTCTTTGTATTCAATTCTTGGTTGGGGAGGGGGCTGGAAGTGTAATGGTTAACGAGCTCCAAAGAGAAGTTTTTGTTTAAATTCTTGCCATTTTCTTTACGTTCAGTTTCGCACAACTATCGTTTAGGAATGTTATAGATACATTTCTTCTCCCCACCCCACCAGCTATGGGTTAAATAACAGGGTTGAGTGGGTTCTCGAGCCTTGAAATGGCAGCCGATCTACTCGAAAGAAAACTCTGAGTTCATCTCAAACCCGAAGAGGGATGGGTTTCTTTAGGTTAACACGCACGAGACACGACTCCACTGTTACATGATGCCCCTACGAGTCCAATGAGTTACAGGACTCGTGACATGATGTGGTATTCAATACTACCTCTTCCATGTGCCGTGTCCCCCTTATTTCCTTTGTAACTCTTAACAATGTTTGTCTTATTGACTTCATATAAAGTAGGATTTTCAAAATTCTAAATGTATTTACATCGCCATCTTCGGTCTTTTTGCTATTGTCCTTTTTACCCTATCATTTTCTTCAACTCTCAGCAACCTCAAAATTACAAATTGGAGATACCAAAATAAAACAATTACAAAAATTTTGATATCTAGGAAGTGTTTTAACAGAGGACAAAAAGTGGGACATTGAAATCCCAAAGCCGCATTAAAATAGCGAAAATGTCTTTCCAAAACTTACGCAAAGTATTAAAAACAGAAAATTCCGTTAGAAACAAAACCAGAGAAAAGATTACTAAACTGTTGCACATTATCAGCTCTTCTTACTCCCAACTGAGTGAGGAGGGCGTTTTTTGTGGCCCCATTTTTTTATGGCCGTTTAAAATTAGTTTTAAACTGAGGTTACATTGTTGGTCATCAACTAATAATATTCATCGTGTCTACATAGCCGGTGGAGTGCGTACTACGCAGGAACCTCAACGAGGTTGCAGCTCCAAAAGGGATAGTTTCAGCAGCGTTTTTTTGTTTTTTTGTTTTTTGGTTATATTGTCAATCATCAACTATAATAATCGACTGGGCAGGTGCCTACTACCCTGAACCTCTCAACTGCGTGGGGGCCCTATGCCTACTGGAGACGGGGAGCGGAAGTGCAAATTTCAGTAGTGCTTTTTTTTTTAAATTGTAATTTTTTTCTTAACAATTCTTTTAAATCAATTAAGAGGGTAATATATCTCGAGAAAATCATTTTTTATTCCGAGATCATACACTAAGGAGGATCTTTGATTTTTTTTTTTTTTACTTATAGTAATACTAACAGGCAGTCCACAGCTAGTAATTAAAATAAAATTTCTAGTCCCTATTTTTTACATTTCTAGAAAGATAAAACCGAGAAAATGATCGCTTAAAACATAAAAGATTTCAACACAGGAAAAGTTTTCCCCAAAACTGAAATACTGTTTTTAAAACAATTTTTTTTAAAGACAATCCCGTTTGTGTTGTGTTGGAATCTTTGTAAAACATTTTTCGGCGGAGCTGCGTTGGCCATTAATCTTTATGGAAATGTACAAATTTGCGACTTAAACACTTTTTTCGAGTAAAATTTAGTCATGAAAATACAAAATTACAAAAAGAATAACATTTTCTCAGATTTTTTAAAATAAAAAAAAGACCTATTCATTATAAAAGTAAATAATTAATGACTATGTACTAAATTTTTTTATTTAAATTGGATTTCCCTGATTTTTGGTAATTTAAATGTGTGCCCCCTTCCCAAGTTGGGAAACTTTGAAATCGACATGTAGTAGAGAGGTGAGGGCCCGTATCAAAGTTTCAGTGCTGGCACCTGAAACCCTAGCGCCGACTCTGAATATCAGTCCTCCTATAGAGCAGTGAAGACGGGACAATCTCCTCACAGATGAATAAGAGAGCTGAAGCAACAGAAATGTGATTCTACAGAAGGATGGGGAGAATACGATGGGTTGAACATGCGAGTAACGACGAAGTTTTCGAGAAAATGGTAAAAAGGGAATTTATATGTAATACCGGGAAGTAACAGATGAAATTTCTACGGCACAAATTGAAGAAAGGGGGCTTGGAAAATTTGATACTCACAGAACATTAAAAGTAAGAGAAAGAGAAGGAAACAATGAATGACAGAACAGGGATTAGGAGAGTTTTTTTTTTCAATAATGTCCACTATGTACAAGCCCCAAGAGCTACTCGAGGTAGAGGATTATAGAATAAAAACCACGGTTTATGAAGACATGTGAGGAAGATAATGATTCACCCTAGACTTGAACAGGATAGAGTGAAAGCAAGAACGACAGAAGACAGGAAATCTGGAGAGCCATGATCATCAAACGTGATGAAGGGACACGACACACAACAAAAATACTTGCTATTTATCATTGGGTATCGACAGAGTTAACTCCCTTGTAAATGATTCCATTGTCCAATTAAGGATGAATCATTGCTGGGTTTGTTTTGCTGTATGCCATAAAATCGTTTTTATCAGTGTATTTTTTTTTTTTAAACTCGCTAGGTGGGTGGAATTTATTTAAGACACGCGATATCTGAACGTGGTTAGCCGCTGACCTCAATGGAATCCTTGCAAGAATACAAACCGCCTTTATTTTTTACGCAACGTAGAATCGAGTAAACGGAATTTAACGAGAAATAAAATGAAATAAAGAATAAAACGTAGTTGACTTACCTTATCTCTTCCTGCGAGACGAAATGAAAAGAAACAATAAACATTAGATTAGTAATGTTTCATGGTAAAATATTACAAATATGTCAAATGAAACATTAAGATCATTACTGAATTAATAAATTATGTAACAACATACGTAGTTTATATGCACACGCACAGACATAAACATACGTCACATACATACACAAAAGTCACATACATACAAAAACAACGTGTATATATATATATATATATATATATATATATATATAATTTAAGAAACACCAGATATTTTTGTAAATTGTGCTCAATATTAAAATATTAAGATAATATTAAAAATAGAGCATTAATATTATATAAAAAAAAAACAGAACCCCTTGAAGAATGGATTAACAAGAAACTTCTAATTCGGGGAAAACAAAAATTGATATTTAAAGTTAAAGTTAAGTAATCTTATTTTTATATAATACACACACACACACACACACACACACACATATATATATATATATATATATATGTACGTATAATTGTGTATTTGGGCAGCAATCCCTCTTTTATACAAGTTTCATTAAAAACGCCTAACAAGGTATACAGCTAAGTTTTTATTTAATTTTCTTACGTTCTTATAATTTTCTTTTCTCGACGTAAATTATGTAGAAATTGTCCAAATGGTTGGCATGAAAATTTTTAACGAAACTTGCATAAAATACACTATATATATATATATATATATATATATATATATATATATATATATATATATATATATATATATATATATATATATGATGTAATATCGCAAAGTTCCCGGATTGTAAGACCTAAGGCAGCATCATGTTGAAAAATGGTTCCTGTACGATCAGTGAAGTTGAGCAACGTCTGATTAGTACCTAGATGGGTGACCACTTGAGAAAGACAGGTGCTGTAAGTTTGGATGTGCAGGTGGTGTAATTGATAATTGTTTGGAACTGTTAATCGGAGAACCGAGTTCGAATTTCCGTTGGCTTAGTTATATTCACATACAAGCAAATAGCCTTGGGAAAGATATGAGTCTTTTTCTTCCTCGCAATTATGTGCTAATTAGTAAGACTTGTATAACTGAACCATTAATACCTCAAAC